TTCTTTTTTGCGGTGCACGTGGCGGGGTTTGCACATAGCGAGTTCGATCCCCGGAGAGGAGCTTTTTTTAATTTTCTTTTTAGCAGTCGCTGTTTTGCTTTAAACACTCAAAAACTAATTGTTCAAGTCCCGACGTATGAGTTTTTCAAATTTTCTTTTTAACATCCGCTGTTTTGCTTTTTTTATCAGATGTATTTTCTTCTTTAAGTGGTCTCGTACCAATTTCATCAACTTGGGTAATATCATTTCAACAACTTCTACCTCAATAACGGCAGTAAAACCTTCGTCAGCTGAAATGTCAGCTTTTTTTAAAAGCACTTGTTTTTTTTGGTATAGTAGACACCGTATAACCGAACCACTGTTGTGTTTCGTCGAACAGTTTCATTGAAAGCCGCCATACGCTTAAGTTACGTCTTCCCTTCTATCCCTACGTCATCCAGACACATGTGAGAAACTAAAGTCCCCGGAAACCCGCAAAAACATACGTGACAACATGACGCGGTCGCTAAGTTCTATTACAGCTGGGAGGTCACGTGACTGAGATCGCGTCGACGTTGCCAGCCGTTTGCGCGTGGGAATGACGTGAATGACGCAATTGACGCAATTACGCACGTGTGGAAACGGTATGGGGTCATCTTCTTAATCCGGAAACGTACAAAGCGGCATGTGAATCTAAAAGGTTTTAGGACAAAACGGAGCCTGCTCGAAGAATCGCTAAGTACAAACCTGCATGTCCACTGCGAAATGTTTCTCGTGCGTTTCTTTTCCTCAAATCAGATTTACGTTACTGCAGTGTACCGGTTGCTAAGTTCTATAATTACAGCTGTGAGGTCACGTGACTGATAACGCGTCGACGTTGCCAGCCGTTTGCGCGTGTGAATGACGTGAATGACGTCATTACGCACGTGGAGAAACAGCACGGGATCGCCTTTTAAATCCGGAAACGTACAAAGCGGCGTGTGAATTTAAATAGCCTCCACCAGGCCTTTCTACGGGAATACGGATAGTAGGATTCGATCGGCAAAAAAGAGAGTAAAATGGGCAAAGGGAGTCCGGCCGCGGGGAGGTAGTTTCTTTCCCTCGGAAGCGCGGCCAGTCAAACCTTCAAGGCGGCCAAACTCACCAGGCAAATATTCTCCTATATATAGCCAGTGTAGTTAGTCTGGTAGAGACTAGATTTAAAAGGTTTAGGGGGCCGCCAACACTCTAGATCTAAACTCTATGCTAAACTTTGAGAGCTGGCTACGTATTGCGCTGAATTCAGGAAACCTCTCGATTACACTTAACGATAAATTCCAAGTGGCTACAACGCATTGCGTGTGAATCAGCGGTGAAAATTTTGCATAATTCGTAATCACCACGTGCACTAGCCTTTACCAGGCTTCGGGAGGCGGCTGGAAAGAGTAGAAATCGCCCAAATAGAGAGATAGCAGTTTGGCAAACTGTTCTCCCCAGCCGACCAAACTCCCTCGGCATGCTATCTCTTTATTTGGCCGATCTATACTCTTTCCAGCCTCCTCCCGAAGCCTGGTAGAGGATTATCACCACCCCTCATGCAGGCCTTGCTTTAGGTGGGCGCGTTTATAATTGAATCATGTCGGGGATTGGTAGTCCGAGCAACTGGAGTGTTGGAGATTTCTCTTCTTCTGAGAAACCCTAGTCGAAATGTGGGCGCAAAACACGTTGATGCGTTCTTAGAAGGCCTTAGCTAATCTCCAAGCAGATATTTGTGGAATTTTTTTCAGTAGTGTTAGCCCGGTATCCAAGTCAACCCTACATGTATTATATATCTGTCTATACATGTATTATACTATATCCTATATACATGTATTGTAGGCCTTAGCTAATCTCCAAGTAGATATGTGTGGGATTTTTTCCACGGTGTTAGCCCGGTCTCCAAGTCAACCCGACATGTATTAAATACCTGTCGAGTCTCCTTCATTCTCTCCGTAAGGCCACAGCAAGTAATTTTTATGGATGACATCAGCGCGCGCAGTAATTTTCGCCTGGTTTTGGAAAAAGAAAAGAAATTTTGTTGCCTTCTGACAGTGGTCAACATGCCGAAAATGGGCAAAGATGTCTGCTGCCATGCCGGAAGGTGGATGGCAGATAACCGTGAAGAGAGGAGACAAAAAGGCTCTGATTAAATGTTTTGTTTCTTACTTTGATGCAGTGATATGTGATGCTGACTGTGTATAAGTGATGTTCCTACTGAATCAAAACCATTTGTACAATGACTGAGTCAAAATTTTAAATTGTAGGAACCTTGTTTTTTCGGCCCACCTTGTTTTTTTTTTCTCCCGCTCGCATTAGATTTAGAGTCTGCGGAGGATGTCATCCATAAAATTTACGTGCTGTGGCCTTAGCGATGACGAAAGAGACCCGTCAGTTGTAATATTGTGGCGATTTTTGCGGCATGTCGCCTTTAAAGCACGGGCGTCCCGCGCCGAGGCAGCGGCCTTGGCGACTACGTCACTACTACTAGCTATTAAACTCCCCTGCATGCACTTTGGTCCGCAGACCGAGAGTACAACCCGGCACTGTGGCAGAGGGCGGAGACACACACGCAGACACACACAGACGCCGAGTCACTCACTCACAGATGCAGCACCGATTCCAGAGACGCTAGCGAACGCTCCTTAACACCATGGCAAAGGGAGGGACCGGAGGGATACTGTTGGTAGAGGGCGGCTTCGATAAATTACAGGTGAGTTTGTGTTGTGAATAACGAGTTTTTATATGACAAAGCCTATCAGAAATATTCGGTCCCATATGTTGAGGGCTTCGGTGCCACATACGTATACTTGGGACGGTGCACCTACAATGAATGAATGAAGACCTTTATTGTACAAAAATGCCCACTGGGTTAAGTACGTACAGGTACACAGGAATCTCTTGTATATACATACATATACATGGTCAGGCTACACTAGCGCTATAGTCTAATTACGTAAATTCGGAATGTCTTCTGCAATGATTGTACCGTACGTACGTCGTAGATTTGAGACGAAACATGCATGTGTAATGGTTTAAACATTAAACCACTGCCACCGTCTCTTCCCAATCTCAAACCTAGAAAACCTACGATCATCGCGGAATTCGAAAAAAACAAAACATCCAAGGTGTATCGTACCGGTTGTGTGTGACTAGAGCTTGCCCCAAGCATCTGGTTTGTATAACGAGCTCCATGTCCATTACTGAATCTGACCCGAAGGTGGCGAAACTCGGCCCGTATCAAAGTGTCCGTCCGCGGCGTGTTATCACCCCAGCGGACACTTGATCATGAGTGGTTTTACACTTACAGAGAGGAGGAGATTAGATAGCCTGGATTTTAGACTCATAGCATGCCAGGCAGTGGGCTAACCTTAGGGAACAAACGTATGTCCTAACTAAAAATAGCCAGCATTTTCTATGGTAAAATTTCTTTGGGGCATGCTTGTCGTGGAGCCGAGGAGCTGGCCTGTGTAGGCCCTTGAGCTGGTCTGTTTAAGCCCTGGAAACAGCCTGGCATCCAGGCTAGAGTAAGACTGTGGGTCCATATAGTATTCATATACACTGTTGCTTTGTTGTGTGTATTTATTAAGTGCAGTAGGATTCACTTCGATGAACATATGGTATATTTTGTCCACAGGGTTCAGATCAGAGCCAGACGGTAGAAAAATTGTTCACAGGTGGTCGTAAAGACTTCCCTAGACAAAATATTAGTAGTAAAATTTCGTCCAACAGGGAGAATAATGCCAATAATTTGCAAGAGGGGTTAGGCCACCATAGAGTTCATTTGAACGGGCAGTTAAGGTGAAATTTTACCCTTACCACGACTCTCTGCCTGGTCAATTATTAACCGTGTATTTTTGCCAAATTCTATTATCCATGACCCCTTCGGAAGACCTGCAAAGAAAGGGGAGGGGCCTTGCATACACTGATCGGTGTTCATAAAAGCTAATTGGATACTCTCCAAGCAGAGGTTATGGGGGAATGATCGTTACCTTTTTTTTATATATGGCCGTTTTTTTTGGTATAATACCCCCGTCACATTGCGCGTAAATCGATCGGCCGACTAGTTGGCGAGCTCTAAACGACATTTACGGCCGTAGTACGCCCGATGTTGCGTCGAGCATCGTGCGAATTTTCGGGATCGCCGGCGATTTTTTGGAGTCGGCCGAAGCTCGCTGACACGCGAAACGTGTTCTTAACATCAGCGACTAGTCGCCGGCGATTTTTGAGGTCGCAGAGCTCGTTTCCAGCTCGCGCGTAGCTCGCCCGTAGCTCGTCCCTGTGCGGCCGAGAGTCGACCGATATTCGGACGTACATCCCACGAGTCTCGGCCGTATTTCGTCTTTGAAAATCGGGCGACGGTCGCTGAATACGGTCGACCCTCGCGCGAGCTTCGAGAAATATTCGGACGACCCTCTTCCGTACCTCGCCAGTGTCGGACGAAGGATCTACGAGCCTCGGCCGAGCTCTTGTGAAGTTATTATTTATTCTGCACCTGTGACATTTATTTGAGATTGCATTGACAGTAAACTGTGTAAAGTTTGCAGGAGCAACGTCCCAGTGACTCTTAACGTTATGTTTACGAGAAAGTATAAAAAATAGACAAAATCGTCCTTTTTGTCCTTTTGTTACATCAACATTCATTAATAAACAAAAGCACTTTAAAAAGATGACGAGGTTTTAAATATATAAGGCCAAATGCCTAGATTTTTACCTCAACTGATTGAACGCACATAAAATCCTTTACTCTTGTCCTTTTAGGAGGTGTGTGGCCTTATTTCAGATGATTGTATAGTAAATTGACGCTTACACTTGTTCATTCTGGAATGAGGTTGACTTTTTTATTAGGGCGCCCACAAGAACGTCATGTGATAGATATTACTTACTAGTTGAAGTTTATATTGCATGGGGCTTTTTACCTCTGTCTACTTTGTCGACATTGAATGACTAATAATCTTGTTTACCGGAAGATTCAAACTATTTTAGACAGAAGTATACCGGCAAAGTTTTAGAACAATATATCTTATTAGCTTTGTTCAGGTACACGTGTATAAAAAGATTTTCATATAATGATAATCATTATGTCTTGTTGTACGTTTTAGTTGAATGGTCTAGAGATCGTGCGAGCATCGATAGATCGTCGACCGTAACTCGAGCGGCATACGCCCGTGTGTCGAGCGAGCTTCGGCCGACTCCTGTCTGGTTAAAAAGGTGGTCGTTTTGTTAACCAGACGGTAGTTTTAATTTGTGGCTCTTGTGGTAGTATTTGAGTTGGATCTTTCACAGAATTCCTGTTTATATTTTTATTTCATTCTGCCAGTCCGCTCCATTACTTTGCTAAAAAAATATTACGACAGGTCAAACATAAAAATTGTCCAAACTATTCATCTTTAGGTGGATACACTGGCCTTGCTTAATCTGCTTGCCATGTCATAGGGACTTCATTATCATAGATGTATTCCCAAGCGATCGCCCGAGCCTCGCACAATGTGACCGCGACGATTTTCAAGCCAAAAATACGCACGATCGTCGGTCGATCTCAAAATCGGCCGATCTTTCGGCGATTGACAAATACGGCCGAAGCTCGTCGACAATGTGACGGGGGTATAACCCCACCCGTCGGTGGCTGGCGACCTTCTCTGGCCAATGGATACTTCCTGGCCAATTTGATACTGTCTTTTTGCCACCGAAAGGGATCTTCTTGGAGATTACAAGTAGCGTCTAGTTGTTAATATATCGTGTGGTGTAAAGAGTCAAACGTATGGTCTTCACTGTTGTTGTTTGGTTGACCTTCCATACATACATACAACTTTTACAAGGCCGGCTAAGGCGCGGTTCGCTGCATGTTTTCACTCAGTCCACAGATCATAGGTTATGATTGCGCAATAGTTGTTAATGATACATCCAGGTTAATGTTGTCTTAACTACGTATGCGCAATATTTGTTAATGATGAACCAGGTTAATGTTAACGTAATGGGTTTGAAATTTAAATATTCCTACATTGCATTGTCCTGAAAGGCCCATATTGAATGTACATGTTTTGTGGTTCTATATCATTTGTATGCTGATACTATACTGAGCTTTAAATGAGTCACCTATCCCCAGTTCCACTAGACGACAATGGTTTAGTGACCGAAATTATAAGTGAACAAAATTGGATTAGTACGTGTGTCCCTTGGTTCACTGTTGAAATATGATGCAATATTGATTGAAGTATGATATAAATGACAACAAAACGCACAAAACGTAGAAAAATTAAAAATCTTTCTTTATCCATGAAATTCATTAAGCTATCCGTCATATTTTTTCACATCTTTATTCGCTTAGTTGTTTCAGTCTCTAGTAAAAAGAGTGTGTGTAAACGCACGCAGGTGGGAACCTATTTTATTTACTTTTCGGCCGGGTAAATTAAAAATAGACGAAACCAAAGTACAAATAGTACGTCCGTGGATACGTCCGCTATGCGGGTCACTGTCGTTATCGACCGGTGTCAAGCCATATACATGCTCCTGCCAAAGACATGACTCCGACACTACTTGGGGGCTTCCAATATACCTGAGACTGGCAAGGGGTTTTGTCGTGATGTGGGAGACTAAGCCTAACCTAACTCCAATCGTAAGTCTAAACCTAGCCCTGCTAAACAATGATCCCAACTCTAACCCTTACCCTAATCCTAACTCTAATACTAACCCCAACCCTTTTATGTCTAGTGGTGACGTGAATATAAGCATATTGCTTAAGTGCGTCACCACTATGTATTGTATTGTTTGCATGTTGAAATAATAATAAAAAAACCCTAACCCTAACTAAGACCAACCCTAACCCTAAATACCAACCCTAACCCTAGCCCTAACTCTAGTACCAACACTAACCCTAACTCTAATACCAACCCTAACCCTAGCCCTAACTCTAGTACCAACACTAACCCTAACTCTAATACCAAGCCTAACCCTAACTCTAATACCAAGCCTAACCCTAACTCTAATACCAATCCTAACCCTAACTCTAATACCAAGCCTAACCCTAACTCTAATACCAAGCCTAACCCTAACTCTAATACCAACCCTAACCCTAGCCCTAACTCTAGTACCAACCCTAACCCTAACTCTAATACCAACCCTAACCCTAGCCCTAACTCTAGTACCAACACTAACCCTAACTCTAATACCAACCCTAACCCTAGCCCTAATTCTAGTACCAATCCTAACCCTAACTCTAATACCAAGCCTAACCCTAACTCTAATACCAAGCCTAACCCTAACTCTAATACCAATCCTAACCCTAACTCTAATACCAAGCCTAACCCTAACTCTAATACCAAGCCTAACCCTAACTCTAATACCAACCCTAACCCTAACCCATCCCTAAACACCTGACCTCTCACGTATGTGGCAGCTCAAGGATTTGGCTCAACACCGGCTGTTTGACTAAAGTCAGAGTTCAGTGACCCCTGCTACTTACGACCATTGCGTGGGTTGAACCGACTCAAAGTGGATTTTCGAGCCGCCCTATGAAGTTATACGTTAATCTACCTGCGTCTTTCCCACGGGATTAGGCTACCGCAAATCAGTTTTATGGATGACATTAATTTTCGCCCGATTTTGGAAAAAAAACTTATTTTGCCCTCTGACGGTGGTCAGCATGCCGAAAATGTGCAAATATGTTGTGACTGTCTATCGGTTCGGAGACCATTAGGTATCCAGTAAACTTGACCTCAATTCTTGTGTAACAAGGCTTATGACCTCAAAATTTAAAAATGGAAGAATCTTGTTTTGCCCGCTTTGTTTTTTTTCGCCCTATCGCATTAGATTTGGAGTCTGCGGAGGATGTCATCCATAAATTTACTTACTGTGGCCTTATGTTCAATTCGTTCAAAATGGGCCAAGCCTTTGACCAGCGGCTGTTTTGTGGCATTACCCTTTTATCATATTGTCCGTTTGTATCTTGAATGTGTGTGGCACGGAATATGGGGTTTGTCCTAAATGTATTTGTTATCCTCTTCTTCCTCTTCTTCTTCTCGAAACAAATAAGGTCAATGACCAGGACCAGACGTCTGTCACCATGGTAACTAGTGTTGGGTTACATCATGTTGCGAGTGCCATGTAGAACTGAGTTCAAGAGGGGCGGCATGATCACCATATATATGAGCGTGTTTGAGTAAGAATAAACAGAGCAGTTGTTTGTTATAGCTTGGCCATGTGTAGGTAAACATAATGTATTTGCTATGAGCGTGTTTGTGTAAGAATAAAGAACAAAAGCAGTAGTTTGTTAAGCTGTGCCATGTGAAGGAAAACATGATGCGTTTGCTTTGAAAAAGTTACCTTTCTAGTTATGTCTACCGAAGGAAAACATTGATTTTTCTCAGTTCCTTCCTCTTCCTCTTCTTCTCTAAACAGTGACCTTTGACGTGGCCAATGGCCTCATTTGTTGACGGCTGTCACCATGGTAACTGGTGTTTGGTTACATAATGTTGCAATTTCATAGTAGGCATTTAGACTCCTGTCACCATATACATGTGTGTGAATGTGTTTGACTAGAATTAACAGAGCAGCCATGCATGTCCAAAGGTAAACATTAGGCATTTGCCTTGAAAATGTTACCTTTCTAGTTTCTTGTTCAATTCTTTTCTTTCTTGTTTTCAGAAAAAGGATAAGAAAGCAGGAGAAGAAAACCCGACGATCTGCGAGAGACAACAACGGGTGAAGAGAAAGGTCACTGACATCGCAAGCCACGTCAGAACTCTCGGCAGTAAGCCTAGCAACGGATTCGTCATCGAGCGATTCGACTGCGTCCTCTTCATCTTCCCTTACACCTTCGTGACGGACGATCGCTGTCGCTCGGAGCTTAAAACGATCGTACAAGACGTCAAAGACAGGAAATACGTCTCTAAGAAAGCGGCGTATGTTGGCGTGATAGTGGTAGAATCGGCACCAGCGGACTTGGAGACTCCCGTCATACGTCTGACAAGATTGCTGGAGAAGTATCTGAAGTTGCCGCACTTCAGACAGCCTCAGATTTGTTATTTCGTGGAAAGAGACTCCAACTCGCCTGAAGTGTTGAAAAGTACCATACGGGACGCCTTGGAGGATAGGTCTGAGGAAGGTGAGTTTTGGGGGACGGTACACTAAAGGTTGGGGGAAAGGAGAAGGGAAAATGTCTCCATGGGGACGGTTCATCATTAGGCAAGTTTGGGGTAGGAGACGAGGACCCACCCGTGTCAGAGCAATCTTCATCTGTTTGCGGAAATGTTTTCTTCTAATCTCCAAGCAGATCCTAGGGTGGTAAAAGACAGTATCAAATTGGCCAGGCAGTATCCATTGGCCAGAGATGGTCCATTTATACGCCACCCAGCTTAGTGCGACTTTCTGCAGATCCTTGGGTGGCGTATATTGGACCCTCTCTGGCCAATGGATATTGCTTGGCCAATTTGATACTGTCTTTTGCCACCATAGGATCTGCTTGGAGATTACGTTAGGTCGACATTTGTCCAAATGGTTTCCTTTTCAAGCATGCAACGCAGTAACGATCGATGTTAACAAATCCAATCGTTTGAATTTTTAAACTACTAACGTGTCTGTACCAGCCATCACTACGTCAATGCAAAGTCAAAGACGTGTTTGCGTAGTGACGATTCTGCGAACTCTCGCCCACATAAACTTTTGAAACTGCTAGCGTATATATCTATGTCAGCCATCATTACGTCAATGCTTCGCCATTTCAAAGTCAAAGACGTGTTTGCGTAGTGACGATTCTGCGAACTCTCGCCCACATAACAGCCAAGCCAAACGCTCAAGCGCTGTTTAATGACGTCTTTGGCTCATACAGAAAATGAAAAAGAAATGTCGTTGACGTTACATGGTTAGTCTCCACCTCACTCTTTTGCAGGCTGAATAATTGGCCTAAAAGATAGGGCCAACGGAGTGGCCGGCCATCGAGGGTCCAGTTTGCCTAGTACACTACAGGCCTACTCCCCTGGCCAGCTACATTCTTTTAGGCCGATTTCTACGTACTATTTATACAGCCTGCAAAAGAGTCTGGTGGAGACTAACTCTGTCTCTTTATCCCAGACCCGTACTTACAGAGAGAAAGCCGGCTAACCAGGATGACGCGTTGCCTTCGACTACGGAAGAGACCATCACACAGAGAGGGGGAACTAGAAAGGTTAACGACATTGATTTATAACTTTATCTATTGTTTAATGTGTTGGTTTCATTGTTTTCTTGTTGTCCCAGGGCGTTCCTGAAAAGCAGTGTTTTTAAATAGCACTGAGGTCTCTACCCTGTTTGAATAAAACAGAAATAAATAAATAAAAATAGAATGTTTGCGTATATTCAAACGTTTATAATACCTTAGTAGGAACCGGTGTCTTTTAATGTTGAATCCATATACCATATCTAGAAAATCGGTTATTATGTTTACCGAAGCAAAATGTATTGTTTTTGCTACGTTTCCTCTTCTTCTTCTGTTCCAAACAATAACCTCTTACCTGGCCAAATGGCCTGATTTGTTGACGTCTGTCTCCATGGTAACTAGTGTTGGGTTTCATAATGTTGCAATTTTATAGCAGGAGGCAATTAGACTCCAGTCTAACCATATACACATATGAATGTGTTTGTGTAAGAATTAACAGAGCAGACCATATGCGAAGGTAAACATTATGCATTTGCTTTGCACGTGTTACCTTTCTAGTGTTATATTTCAGTGTGTTGTTTTTCATCCTCGAGGAATGAACACTTTGCTAACTAAAACTCTTTTTACGATTTACATTTAGAGAGAGGGAGAGAGGAAGAACGACTAGGTTACTCCTCCAAAACTCAACTCTTCGGGACACGCAAGTATGAGAGGTAAGTATGAGATACTTTGTGTCCAGTGTGCTATGGGTCTGGCACCCAGGCTATAAAATACTTATATTTATAATGAATTGCACGGCGAAAGAAAACTAAGGAAGCATCATTTTTCACTTCTCCTCCCGTGACCTTTCCCGAAATGTCACTGACGCAGATGTATCTATTTTTCAGGAAGCTTCGGGACCCCGGAGTGACCAACCTGCGTCATGTTGTTGCTAGGATGTGAAATTGTTATGGCCTTTTGACGATCAGTTAAAGCAAGTGCATTTTAACTACTCTCCAAGCAGAGGTTTGGGTTTGGGGTTATTTTTGACATGTTATGGCTTTTTTATCGGGGGGTTCTCTTTCGCACTGGAATTTTTCTTTTTTTGGGTTGGGTGGAAAAAAAATCCAGTGCAAAACAGAAACCCCGATAAGAAAATCCTAAAAATACGCCAAAAATAACCCCATACCCCTGCTTGGAGAGTATATTTTAACTCCATGGTTGAAACATTTCTCTTTTTTAAGGTGTCCAATGCAATTTTCGGGGCGGCAAAATTGGGTTTTTAAGTCTTTTAATCTAGTAAGTTGAATCAATTCTATTTCATCGCATACGAATATCTGTGAGGCAAAATGTCACTGATGGAAAACGGTTGCTTGTTTTGTATCATAGGCTGGTTCTACCTATTTATGGGTGGTACCCAAAAATAAAGAGACGCCTGAATTAGCTTTTTAGGGCTATTTCAAACGCTTCACGTATGAAAGGATGACAAAAATGTGCTAAAAAATAGCAGGAAATGTCAATAAAAGACAGATTTCTAGCCTGGGTTCCATCCTGGTTAGTTTACGTCCGCTCCTACAGTCGCTACCACCAACCAACTCCACTCCTACAGTGGTAGCGACTGTAGGAGCGGACGTAAACTAACCAGGATGGAACCCAGGCTAACAGATTTCCTCATTCAGAATATGTTTGTTTTGTCGCCCTAAAATTGCACTGGATGCCTTTAAGAGTCCGACACCAATGCTAGCGACGATGCCGCCCGTGATTTGGCCCTATAGACGTTATACTGTTGTTGCATGTTAGAGGACAAATAAATTAATACCGCTGGCTAAGAAATTGGAAATTTTCGGGGAGTCATGTCTCCAGATTTTAACGAAGAGGCACGAAGGCCTTTTGAACACAGTGTACAGTAAATAAATGGATTGTAATTGGATGCGTGGGGTTTGTGATTCATTTTAACCTCATCTTGCTAGATGGTAAAATTGAAAGTTCATAAAAAGTCTTGTTGTTCTTTGCTAAGTTATGTGCAGAGATATTACAAAAAGATTACATGGAGCAGATGATGATGATGAATGATTTATTAAAATGCAAATCACTTGCAGCCCGCGGGCTGAATTGCGGATTCGTTGCAAACATTTTCAGAGCTCGTGTTAAAGGAGTACTAACCTCCAGAAGGAAGTGCTATTTTCCGATACATCATGCTGCAATGAATACATAACTAGCCGACTTTTTACATAATTTCGCTTGTACGACTTGCGCGGCGCATGTTTGTAAAGTGATATTAATATGATTTTCCCCCATACTGAACCACAATTGATACATCCGGGAACTCTGGCTTGCGCAATACCCATACACTTCAGGTCAACATACACATTTTTTGGCGAAAATGGTAGGAGACAAGCACACTAACAAGCTGATTATTGAGAAATTACTTGTCTTACTTTGCTTGACCTGTGGCTTGGATATTATAATATCAGGATGTCGAATACAGTTGGCGCCAGTTTCATCCTGCGTGTTTTGATTTTCTCAACTTATTTGCATGTAAGTATTACTTGAACAGATAATTAGATTACGCCACTTTTGAAAAAGATAACTAGATTACGCCGTTTTTTTAATCGCCAATATTTGCGGCATAAATGAGGGGCGATAAGGACACCAAGAAGGGCAATGGTTGGTAAGATACCAAAGAACACAAAACGGTACGAATTTTTCTTATCGCCCCCGAAATGAGGTCTGTAACGTAACTTTTTGTTTAAAACATAGACACCAATGGGGTAGCGTTGTGTATTCTGGGATAGTTTTGAGGGTATTTGGAGAGTTTGTCCTGGATTCGATGCGTTTTAAGACTTGCGCACAAAATGGGCATTTAATTGTATACTGTAAAATAATATGCATTTTTCACTTCCAAAAATAAATGCCTGTCGAAATATAGCACCTCCTTCTGGAGGTTAGTACTCCTTTAAGATAAAACATAGGGTCATTTATTATATATAAGTATAACAAATAACGTTGGTGTATAATAAAATTTAACATTTGTGCCATAATACGAGTATAAAACGGAATATAAAACTGATATTCTTTACATTGGCGTTGGCACATGTACAGTCGTATCCGCTCAACTCCTGTTGTTCGGGACAAAGTCGCATGGCGGCGTGATATAACTATACTTTTTTCATGCCAACAAGCTACCCCTGGGTCGTTGACCTTTGCCTTTGGGTTGAACGACCTCGAAACACGACAAACCGCTACAAATGTAACCACTGCAGCGTTGCCAAGTTGATGATGTTCATTGTCCGGAGGATGTCCTAAGTGGATGACGCAATATCTTGTCGTTTATAGTACTTTGATCTACTTTAATAGTTTCTTTCTTTAGAAGTCAAAATTTGTGTAACGAAGGGCTGCTATAAGAGAATCAGAGGCTTCACCTAATTTCCCCGTTGGTATGAAAAATCAAGAAAACGTACAGTAGTTTCAATGAGCAAATTTCGAACTATTCCTAATTACCATATTTGTGCCTACACGTCAGTAGAACATATCTGTTTGTTGCTTGTTGTGGTTTAGGGAGGAAATTGGACAGTCCAGGGAATTTATGTTGGCTTAGCAAAAAAAACGCCTGTCAGCTGTGTTGTGTTAGCTTCAACAGTGCTTCGACCCCAAACAACTGTGACCTTCCACCTTTGGGGCTCTGTGAACGCCTGAATTTATGGTGACTCTGCCTCAGACCTGAGAGCTTCCCGAGTACTGGCTTTCCTCACATTAAAGAACCAATAAAACTCTACTTTGTTGCCGATTTCGACTGATTACGGTACAAGGGATGAAACGTCAGGTAAATTTTACAGCGTTGTTTTGGTTGGGCGCACGGGTCAGAGCCTTTAGTAGGCCTGTTGCATGCTGGGAATTTCGAACCATGTCTCTATCGAATCAAGATGGCGGCTCAAAGTCAACAGGTGGTTTTGGTGCTATTCCTTTTTAACGACTGCTCGGAAGCTAAGAAACAATGTTTTATTTTTTTTCATCATTCACGTGGTTACTTTTACGTTACGCTCTAGGAATTTCCGTTCTTTGAATGATTACGAACCAATAAAGAATGCGTACCACTAAATGGAAGAAACGGGGGAAGTTAACTACATAAATAAACCATAACGAAACAAGGTGAACTCAACTGTAGAAGATTAACAGAAGTGGCTCAGCGACTAGTGAGAAATCTTAGCATGCGTAGGGTCAGAGATAAGGGCCCATTAACAGTTTTCTCCGACTTTGAAGATTTGAGAAGATCCGACAACTTCGTCCTTGGAGTTGCTCCAGTCCTTGGAGGCCTTGCCAACAGATGCCACCACTCAGACCTCGTGTCTTCAACAGCAGGTTATTTCCGCTGACTCTGTCTTCGGATCACCTTGTGGCTTACTTCAAGGTCACAGTCAAACATGGCGGCCGCTGTCGTTAGGTATTTGGCCGAACACCAAGTTACGCTGTTTTCGAGTCGATTTGCCAAGTTGTAATCATATGGTATGGGGGTATATTAACGTTGTCTTTCCTATAAGAAAGTAGCCCCTTTCAGGGCTTCGGAGGACCTTCCTCGGCCTAATAAGCACCACAGTTGCCTGGACAATTTGCCTGCCTCGATGATTTCACGTGAACGGGATACAGAGCCAAGGCCTTAAAGTCTGATGTGGAAGAAAACTGAGAGACTGAAAGACTAGTGGCTAGGCTAGAACACCTTGGCAAGAGAAGACTGATATCCAAGTTCCCTGAAACTGTTCGTCCGCGGGTGTGGTGTAGGGCTGGACCTCATCCCGAGACCCTGAGCCTAAGATTAACCTTTAGGATCACAGGTCAAGTACCTCGCACCTTCGGGAGATGACTGCTTAACACGGTCTGGAGGCCACACATGGTCTTACCTAACCATGATATGATGTTGACGTGGTTGGGTCAAAGTCACATCATTAGAATACGGTGGTCAGATATCATTGCAGATTATGTATATAAATAATAGATAACCCGAATGCGCTATAGAATAATACCTTCGCAACCATAGTACATGAACACGACTTTTCCTCGAGTCGAATCCGACACTCGTCGTAGAAGTTGCAAGCCTAAATCTGTCATATAATCTAGACTTCGTAGAGCACTGCCGTAGAGTACTACAACAAACCACATACCCGTCCCTACTGACAATGTTGTGTTCCTGTGCCCGTGGCCCCGTGCCAGCCAGCTCTGACTGGTCTGTTTTCCGTCCCTGCGGCCCGGGATCGGACACACATGTTGTCTCTGCACGCGGTAAAGCTTTACTCAGTAGACCGCAGAAGTCGTACCAGCTTCCCGGTTCACTGCTAAAGGCTACGGCAGGAATGCAGCTCAGCTACCCCGTAGCCTCGCGGCCAGACCACCGTTTTTAACCCCCTGTTCCTCTCTCGTCCTCTTTCGTTATGAGATGTCTGTCTTTTATGTCCTTATTTCATTTTGATATGTCAAGTTGGCAGGAGTGGGTTGGTGGGAGCACTTCGGGCAGTAACCTGTCGTGGGTAGCTTGACAAATCCTTTTTCTGCCTCCTTTCCTCTGTCTAAATCTCTGTACCGAAAGAGTTTCAACGAAAGTAGTTAAAACTCTTGTTTCTCTTCTTTAGTTTTCCTTTTTTTAATCTAGTTATACCCCAATTTTAAAAAAAGAATCTTATCACGAACACAAGTCGGATTTACAACCAACAAAGGCAGAGACAAGTACAGATTTGTTGACAGTGGCACTTTTCCACAATCAAACATCTTGAATATCTATCAGCTGCCTAAGACAGAGCCAAGACCCTGAGTGGCCCAATATCTTTTCTATATTCCTATTTTGGCACAATTAGCCAGCTAATATGTGTTCCTCTTTGTTGTTAAGTCTTTGGGAACCGGTCCATCTCAATTGCGTAGTCTCAACAACGTTTATGAGTTGCGCGTAAAACGTGCTCAGTGCTGACACTAGTGGT